TATTAAATTAAGTTTGGCCTCAGGCTGCCTCTATACTTTGACTCTCCAGACAATGAGCTGCAACCTAACTTCATATATAAACAAACCAAAAACCTAACTTTGGAGCACATTTTTTGTAACAACTAGCTGAGTCTCAGCCAATCACAGGCTGCCAACTGATAAGACCATGTTCAAATAAGGCAAATGCTGATTTTTAACAAATCAAGATGTTTGTATACCTTACATCCATTTCCTGTCTGTAAATGCTCCCTGCCCACATTGCAGAGTGGAACTCTCTGAACTTCTGGTTCTGAGGGATACCCAGTTTGTGAATCATTCTTGCTCAAATAAACTGTTAAATTTAGTTTGTTGAAAATTTTTCTTTTAACATTACCAAGACTAAATCATGAAGAAATAGAAATTCTGAACTGACCTATAACTAGTATGAAAATTGAATCAGTAATTTAAAAATACTTCCAACGAAGCAAAACTCAGAGCCAGAGAACTTCATAGGTGAATTCTACCAAATATTTAAAGAAGAATTAACACCAGTCCTTCTCAAAATCTTTCAAAAAAATTGAAGAAAAGGGACATTTCCAAAATCATTTTATGAGGCCAGCCTTACTGAAGCTAGGCAAAGACAACACAAGAAAACTAATGGACCAAATATCCCTGATGAGCATAGACGAAAAAATCATCAACAAAATACTAGGAAACCAAATTCAGCACATTAAAATGATCATACACCATGAACAAATGTGATTTATCCCTGGGATACAAGAATGGTACAACGTATGATAATCAAAAAATGTGATTCACCACATTAACAGAATGAAGGATAAAAATCATGTGATCATCTCAATAGATGCAGGAAAGCATCAATAAATACAGAAAATCCAACATCCTTTCATGATAAAAACTCTCAACAAATTAGGAATAAAAGGAAAGTACCACAACATAATAAAGGCCATATATAAATACCTCACATCTAATATCATACTCAGCGGTGAAAAACTGAAAGCTTTTCCTCTAAAATCAGGAACAAGGCAAGGATGCCCACTTTTCCCTCTGCTCAATATTGTACTGGGAGACCTGGCCAGAGCAACTAGGCAAGAAAAAGGAATAAAAGGCATCCAATCAGAAGGGAAGAAATAAAATTGTCCCTGTTTGCAGATGACATGATCTTATATAGAGAAAAACTTAAAGACTCCATTAAAAAAGTTGTTAGAACTAATAAATGAATTCAGTAGTGTTGCAGGATACAAAATAACAAACAAAAATCAGTTGTTTTTTTATACACTAACAATGAACTATCCAAAAAGAAAATTAGGAAAACAATTCCATTTATATTAGCACCAAAAACAAAAACCAGAAAACCTAGGAATAAACAACTAAGATGAAAGACTTGTATGCTAAAAACTAAAAAACATTGATGAAAGAAATTAAAGACATGAACAAATGCAAGGACATACACGTTCATGAATTAGAAGACTCAATATTATTAAAACATCTATAAAGTGTTTTATACTAGTGTAACACATGTATATAAAACATTTATAAAACATACATATAGTGTTTTATATATTAAAGTAATCTATAGATTCAATGCAATCCCTATCCAAATCCCAATTTAATTTTTTTTTACAGGAATAGAAAAAATAATTCTACAACTCATATAGAACCACAAAAAACCACAAATAGCCAAATTAATCCTGAGAAAGAAAAACAAAACTGGAGGCATCACACTACCTGATTACAAAATACACTACAAAGAAACAGTAATCAAACCAGAATGGTAATGACACAAAAACCGACATATAGACCAATGGAACAGAATAGAGAGCCCAGAAATAAATCCTCACATGTGTGGTTAACTGATCTTTGACAAAAAATATACAATGAGGGAGAGAGAGTCTCTTCAACAAATGGTGCTGGGAAAAGTAAACATCCATGCATGCCAGAGAATGAAATTGGATACTTATATCATCTACAAAAATTAAGGATCTTACCACGAATAGCCAAAGCAATGCTGAGCAAAAAAAATAAAGCTGGAGGTATTACTCTACCTGACTTTAAACTATACTACAAAGCCATAATAACCAAAACAGCATGGTACTGGTACAAAAACAGAGACACTGATCAATGGAATAGAATAGAATACCCAGAAATCAACCCACGCACTCACTGCCATTTGATCTTCGACAAAGGCATCAAGTCCATTCACTGGGGTCGGGACTCCCTCTTCAGCAAAGGGTGCTGGGATAACTGGATATCCATTTGCAGGAGATTGAAACTAGACCCATACCTCTCACCATGTACTAAAATCAACTCAAAATGGATCAAGGATTTAAATATACACCCCGAAACAATAAAACTTATTAAAGAAAACATAGGAGAAACCCTTCAGCAAATAGGGCTGGGCACAGACTTCATGAATATGACCCCAAAAGCACAGGCAACCAAAGGAAAAATAAACAAATGGGACTATATCAAACTAAAAAGCTTCTGCACAGCAAAAGAAACAATTAACAGAGCTAAAAGACAACCAACAGAGTGGGAGAAAATATTTGCAAAATACACATCCAACAAAGGACTAATATCCAGAATATATAAAGAACTCAAACAACTTTACAAGAAAAAAACAAGCAACCCAATCAAAAAATGGGCAAAAGAACTAAGTAAGCATTTCTCTAAAGAAGATATGCAAATGGCCAACAGTCATATGAAAAAATGCTCAACATCACTCAGCATCCAGGAAATGCAAATCAAAACCACACTGAGATACCATCTCACCCCAGTTAGGATGGCCAAAATCCAAAAGACACTGAAAGATAAATGCTGGCGTGGCTGCGGAGAAAAAGGAACTCTCTTACACTGTTGGTGGGAATGCACAATGGTGCAACCCCTATGGAAAATGGTTTGGAGGTTCCTCAAACAGCTGAAGATAGACCTACCATACGACCCAGCTATCCCACTGCTGGGAATATATCCAAAGGAATGGAAATCATCAAGTCGAAGGTACACTTGTTTCCCAATGTTCATTGCAGCACTCTTCACAATAGCCAAGAGCTGGAATCAACCCAAATGTCCATCATCGGATGAGTGGATACGGAAAATGTGGTATATCTACACAATGGAATACTACTCAGCTATAAAAACGAATGAAATACTACCATTTGCAACAACATGGATGGACCTTGAAAGAATAATACTGAGTGAAACGAGTCAGGCAGAGAAAAAGAAATACCACATGTTCTCACTTATTGGTGGGAGCTAAAAAAATAAACAAATTAATTCACCCACAAACACACACAAAAAACCCCGGGGGGTGTGGGGTGGGGAAGAAGATATAACAACTA